CTGGCTGCTCCGGGCTTGGCTGCTGCTGCTCCGGGCCTGGCCGCACCCGACCCAGCTGCTCCAGGCCCAGCCACTCCAGGCCTGGCCGCTCCCAGCCTGGCAGCTGCTGCTCCGGGCCTGGCCGCACCCGACCCGGCCGCTCCGGGCCTGGAAGCTCTCGACTTGGCTGCACCAGGCTTGGTTGGTGCTGCTCTGGGCCTGGCTGCTCCTGACCCGGCTGCTCTGGGCCTGGCTTCTTCGGGCCTGGCCACTCTAGGCCTGGCCGCCGCCGTTTCAACATTCTGTCCTTTTTTTTTTTTTTTTTTTAAACGCATTATGTTGCAATGTTGGCTGCTGAGTTGAGTTCCAACTTAGTCTTCAATTTTTCAAGATCTTCTTTATATTCTTTCTTAAGTAATTTTACTATCTTTTGCTCTCACTTGATTTCTTCACATTGAAAACTTCTTTGGTTTCTTCCTCCTTGTCCTGGAAGCTCAGCAGGTTGGCCTGTGGCACCCCTTTGTTCTCCGCGGGCTCCTGCACTGCTTCAGCCTGTTGCCGGGGTCGGCGCCGCCCAGGAAGCAGCCCCCGGCCTCGGCTCCATGGCCCGCGCTCAGCGGTCGAAGGCCCCGGGGGCCCCATCGCCCAGCTCCTTGCTGGCGCCCAGCTGGCTGGTGTCCGGCAGGGGCTCCTGCTCCTCGTCGCGTTCCTCCAATCTGGAGCTTTTTTTTCTCCTTCCCGCTAGGGGAGTCTAGCATCAGAGTCAACAGACTGTCCTCTGCATGCAATGTGCGCGACTCCGGGGGCTCCGCTTTTCGCCGCTCCCCCAGGACTCCACCTCACAGCCCCGTCTCCTTCTGCTTGAGCCTGGGTCCCAGGGATTGGCCTAGAACTGGAGTTCAGAGCAGTCGGGACTGGGGCTCAGCACCGCCTGAGGATTTGTTTCTTCCCGCCAGGGCAATACAGCATCAGAGTCAACATTCTGTCCTCTGCGCGCAATGTGCGTGACTCCGGGGGCTCTGCTTTTTGCCGCTCCCCTGGGATTCCACCTCACAGCCCCGTCTCCCCCTGCCCAAGCCTGGGTTCCCAGGGTCTGGCCTAGAACTGGGGTTCAGATCAGTTGAAACTGGGACCCAGCATGGCCGGAGCTCCTGTTTCCTTCCCTCCAGGGCAATCCCTCATCAGAGTCAACATTCCTTCCCTTGCAAGCAATGTGCGCTACTCCGGGGGCTCAGCCTTTCGCCGCTCTCCCAGGACTCCACCTCACAGCCCCGTCTCCCCCTGCCCGAGCCTGGGTCCCCAGGGTCTGGTCCATAACTGGGGCTCAGCGTTGCCGGTTCGGGGGTTCAGCCCAGGCTGGGGGTTTTATTTCCTTCCTGCTAGGGAATGCCAGGCAGCACCCAGCCCTCTCCTCCTCTCCGGCTGTGACCTCTCCGCGCGCGTGCGGGCGCGCAGCATGTCTCTGTACCTTAGGCTTTTTCAGCTCCTCTGATTTTCCTTCTGGTTTTCTCTTTCCTTCTTGTTGCAGAATTTTCAGTCAGTCGACTACCTGTAGCTCTGGGCAATGTCCACTCTACATTTTAGTTGTATTCCATTGAAATTGTGTGCTGCTGCGGTTAGGTATCTACCTGAGCAGCCATCTTGGATCCTCCGCTTTATTGATTTTCACTTTGAGGATATTTTTTCCATTGCTTTTTAGAGAGAGTGGGAGGGAGGGAGGGAGGGTGAGAGAAAGAAACATCGATGTGAAAGAGACACATTGATTGGCTGCCTCCCACATGCCCCATGCAACCCAGGTACTTGCCTTCGATACAGAATTGAACCCTCAACCCTTGGGTCCATGGACTGATGCTCTAACCAGTGAGCAACATGGGCCAGAGCCCAAGGGTTGTTTTGATGTCCCCCCTCCTTTTTTCCCCCTAAATTTATTTTATTGATTTTCCACAGAGAGGAAGAGGGAGAGATAGAGAATTAGAAACATCGGTGAGAGAGAAACATCAATCAGCACACACCCTACTGGGGATGTGCTCACAACCAAGTCACATGCCCTTGACAGGAATCAAACCTAGGACCCTTCAGTCCTCAGGCTGAAGCTCCATCCACTGAGCCAAACTGACAGGGCTTGCTGTCCCCTTTTTAATAGCTTATTTTTCTTACTTCTGGATCCAATAAGCACTCATCAATCTATTAACATTAATGCAAATTTGGGGGAAGTTGTCTTCTCTCCGAAATCTTATATTTCTACTACAAGCCCGGTGCACAAAATTCTTCCCCTGGGGAAGAGAAGGTCCCTCAGCCTGGATTGTGAGAGGGTGCACGACTGGGGCTGAGGAGGGACCTGGGAGGTTGGCCAGCGGGCAGGGACCACAGGAGGGCTCCAGGGCAGGTCCAGCTGGTCTCACTCAGTCCTGATCGGCTAGGCCCCAGCAGCAAGCTAACCTACGGGCTGGAGCATCTGCCCCTGGTGGCCAGTGCACGTCATAGCGAGGGGTTGAGTGGCCTTAGCATATCATTAGCATATCATGCTTTGATTGGTTGCGGACACTTAGCACAATAGGCTTTTATTGTATAGGATAAGCTGATTTTTTCCTTTGCTCGTTTTGACCTCCCTCTTTTGTAATAAAGATTTTCTCAGGGATCAGTCATGGGTGTCTCCGCCTGAGTATGGAGTTTGCGAAGCCAACAGAAGCTGGGAGAGCTGTGGGCTTCCTGTCCGTCCTGTCGCTGCTCTGTGGGCTAGGCCTGGGCCCCGAGGGCAGAGCCTCTGGGTCTTTGCTGCTGAGCAGGCGTTCTGATGGATAGCAGCCCCCTGAGGAGAGGTGCTGGCGGGCGCCTAGGGCCGAGGAGAAAGTGGCTGGGAGGGTCTCTGCACTCACAATGGCTGAGGTTACTCAGTCCCCCTCGACCCCCCCAGCGGCCCCCTGGTGGCCGTGCCAGGGTCCCAGGACAGAGACCAGCCCAGAGACAGGCCTCGTGGCCACCGCCATCACCTCCGACCCGGAACCCTGACCCTCCCTCCTGCCCTCTGTCCCCTGAAGGAGTGAGGCAGCGCCTTCTGCCCTCTTTACCTCTGAGGCCTCTCCTACCCCCTGCCCGGGGCCACCCCCCGGTCACGGCTCCCGTGCCTCACCCGCCCTCTGTGCACAATGCAGCCCAAGCCACCTCCTCCGAGGGCGCTTCCAACCCAGCACCCGGCCTCCATGTGAGGGGCGCTCCCGGGCCTGACTGAGGTCAGCACGTGCATGTGGGCACTGGGTGCCCTGGGTGCTCTGGGTGCTCTGGGTGCCCTGGGTGCCCTGGGTGCTCTGGGTGCCCTGGGTGCCCTGGGGGCTCTGGGTACACTGGGTGCTCTGGGTGCCCTGGGGGCTCTGGGTACACTGAGTGCTCTGGGTGCTCTGGATGCTCTGGGTGCCCTGGGTACATTGGGTGCTCTGAGTGCACTGGGTGCCCTGGGTGCTCTGGGTGCTCTGGGTACACTGGGTGCCCTGAGTACACTGGGTGCCCTGGGTGCCCTGGGTGCTCTGGGTGCCCTGGGTACACTGGGTGCTCTGGGTAAACTGGGTGCCCTCGGTGCTCTGGGTACACTGGGTGCTCTGGGTGCTCTGGGTACACTGGGTGCTCTGGGTAAACTGGGTGCTCTCGGTGCTCTGGGTACACTGGGTGCTCTGGGTGCCCTGGGTACACTGGGTGCTCTGGGTAAACTGGGTGCCCTCGGTGCTCTGGGTACACTGGGTACACTGGGTGCTCTGGGTACACTGGGTACACTGGGTGCCCTGGGTGCTCTGGGTACACTGGGTGCCCTGGGTACACTGGGTGCACTGGGTGCTCTTGGTGCTCTGGGTGCACTGGGTGCCCTGGGTGCTCTGGGTGCTCTGGTTACACTGGGTGCTCTGGGTGCTCTGGGTACACTGGGCGCCCTGGGTACACTGGGTGCTCTGGGTACACTGGGTGCTCTGGGTGCACTGGGTACACTGGGTGCCCTGGGTGCACTGGGTGCTCTGGGTACACTGGGTGCCCTGGGTACACTGGGTGCCCTGGGTGCTCTGGGTACACTGGGTGCCCTTGGTGCTCTGGGTGCTCTGGGTGCTCTGGGTGCCCTGGGTACTCTGGGTACACTGGGTGCCTGAGTGCCGACCTGACAGAGCAGGGGTGTTGCTCCGGGCGCTGACTGCCGGGGAGGGCCTGCTGAGCCCCTCAAGGCGCCTCCAGCCAGCAAGCTCCGCTCCACCAGCCCCCGGCAGCGGCTCCTGGGCCTGCAGGGAGGGCTGCCCCTGAACTCACAGCGCAGAGGCCTCGTGGGGCCGCCTTCCCGGAAGGGCCTCCTGCAGGCTGCCTCCCGGCCTCTCCGAGCGCCTGTGTCCGTGTCCGGCCTGCCTTCCTCCCCGCCGGTCCCTCCCGGCGAGGCCGCGGTGGCAGCGCCCGCTGAGCACGTGGCACGACCCTCTGCCCGGGGGGAAGGTGACGGTCTCCTTGGGGAAAGGGGATGCAGGTCTCCAGGTGCCTGTTCAGGCCGCTCCAGGCACGTGAGCTCAAACTGCGCCCTGGCACCAGGAGGAGTGAGCGCTTCCTGCCTGCGGCTCACTCTGTGTCAGCCTGTCTGTCTGTCCGGCTGGGAGCTCCCCGAGGCAGCGGGCCAGCCGCCTGGGCGTGTGTGTGTGTGTGTGCGTGTGTGTGTGTGGGTGTGTGTGTGTGGTGAGGGTGTGTGTGTGTGTGTGTGGTGAGGGTGTGTGTGTGTGTGTGTGTGTGTGTGGGTGTGTGTGTGTGGTGAGGGTGTGTGTGTGTGTGTGTGGGTGTGTGTGTGTGAGTGTGTGGGTGTGTGGGGTGAGGGTGAGGGTAGGGGTGGGGGGTAGGGGTCGTCTGCAGAGCTCTGAGGGCTGAGCCATGCGGAGATCTCTCTGCTCGGTTAACGAGCCCACACATGGCCCTGGGCGGCAGGCAGCTCTGGGCCTCCTGTGGCCTCTGGAAGGTGGTGGGCGCTGGCTGGCAGCAGCCCCCTCCTCTCCTCTTGCTTGATTTTCCAGGAACTGGTGCCCCTACCAGAAGTCCAGGCTGGTCACCTTCGTGGCTGCCTGCAAAACGGAGAAGTTCCTGGTCCACTCCCAGCAGCCCTGTCCGCAGGGAGCTCCGTGCCAGGGGGTCAGCGTCATGTGAGTGGCAGGCCGGGCAGGCGGGCGGCCGCGGGCCCTGCCGCGGGGCTCCGGCTGAGCGGTGTCTCCCTCAGGTACCGCGTGGCCGCCAGGCCGGTGTACCGGGTCAGACAGAAGGTGCTGGCCGCCGTGGCCTGGAGCTGCTGCCCCGGCTTCGCCGGCCCTGACTGCCAACAGCATGGTAGGCTCCGCGTGGGCCCTCCCGCTCCCCTCTGACCCGGGGGCCTGAGCTCCTCTGACCACTTGGGGTCAATGTCTGATGCCTGCTCCCTGCAGATCCCACTGCGGTCCCGGGTGCCGACCTCCAGGAGCCCTGGGCCGGGCCGGCTGGCGAGGAACCGGGTATGCTGCTTCCCGGGGGTGCAGGAGAGCAGGCAGACAGCGAGGCTGGTGCCAGGCTCTTCTAAATGAGGCAGTGCCATCTCCGGAGGACTCGGGCCCAGAACCAGCAGGGCCCCTGAGGCTCCGCACCGCCCTGCTGCATGCTCGGGGCCAGGCACCTGCTGCTGGCATGCACATCACCGTCCTTGGCACCCTTTCTAGGACCGACAGCTTCGCCGGGCACCCCCCTGCTCCTGCACTGCATCACCTGGATCACCTCCCCACACCCCTGCCTCAGCAGGCACAAGAAGTCCTGCAGTCCCTGTTCTCGCGTCTCCCCGCGTTGTCAGGCGGGCAGTGTCCCCTGCCCAGACACCCGGGGCTGGGCCTCGAGGCTGGACCGAGGCTGGGTGGCGAAGGCGTTCCATCACGTGGTGAACGCCTATCTATTGACAAGGGCTTCACGAATAGTGGCGGGGGAGGAACATGTGCCAAGATTGATTAGTCATGTCTGCTGTGGTGTGGATGGCAGGGGAAGGTCCCAGGTGTTTGCCCTCCTGGGACTAACGGCCTCTAAGCTGCTGCTCAGAGGCCGTCAGCATAGTCCTCTCTGTTCCCAACCCCGAAGGCTGGGCGCCCTATGGCCCGCCCAGGCCCGGGAGTTAGCCCTCAATACGTCTTTCTCACGTGCCCTCCGCCCTCCAGCTGCCGAGCCGGGTCACATCGGGGCGCAGCGGGAGCGCCTGCTGAGAGATCTCCAGAATGACGTCCACCACACGGCCGACAGCCCCGCAGACGGCCCGGCCAGCAACCTCACAGCTGCAGCCACCGAGGCAGACGAGGGGGAGCTCGGTAAGCGCAGCCCCAGGGCTGAGGAGGAGCCTGACTGCACCCAAGGGGCTGAGGGGGAGGGAAGCAGAGGGTTCTCTCAGCCCCTACCTGGGAGGCGCCCGCGCAGCAGGCCGGGGTGAATGAGGGCGTTTGTTGCAGAGTTCCTGGGCCAGTCCCCGGAGCAGGTGCTGCCTTTGGGCCCCGACTGGAGCGGCTTTAACCAGAGCCTGCACAGCCTCTTTGAGGCGGTCAGGAACCTCTCTCTTGGTGTGGAGGCCAACCGACAGGCCATCAGCACGCTGCGGGACGGCGCCGTGCCCAGAGCTGACTTCCAGGAGCTGGGGGCCAAGTTTGAGGCCAAGGTCCAGGAGAACAGCCGGCGAGCGGGCCAGCTGCAGCGGGACCTGGAGGACGGCCTGCAGGCCCAGCGCCTCTCCCTGCAGCGCTCCCTTGCGGAGGTGCAGGCCGACGTGGACGCCAAGCTGAAGAGGCTCCTCAAGGCCCAGGAGCACCTGTCCAATGCCAGCCTGGCGGCCGCCGCGGCAGGAGCAGGCGCCCGGCCGGAGCCCGAGAGCCTGCAGGCCCGGCTGAGCCAGCTGCAGAGGAACGTGTCGGCGCTGCACCAGGCCGCCGGCCACAGGGAAGAGGCGCTGCAGGGCACCCTGGCCGACATGCAGGCGACCCTCGACCGGCACGTGGAGGAGATCAAGGAGCTGTACTCGGAGTCGGACGAGACCTTCGATCAGATCAGCGCGGTGGAGCAGCAGGTGGAGAAGCTGCGGGGGACGCAGCAGGAGCTGCGGGAGCTGCGCGTGGCCCTGATGGAGAAGTCGCTCATCGCCGAGGAGAACAAGGTGGACGCGGACCGGCAGCTCCTGGAGCTCAACCTCACCCTCCAGCACCTGCAGGGCGGCCTGGCCGACCTCGTCAAGTACGTCACCGACTGCGGCTGCCAGGGGCCCCCCGGCGGCCCGGAGGGCCCGGGCAACGCCACGCGCGCCCCGGAGCGCGTCCCCGGGGGCCCGGGCGCCGGCCCCGCCCCGCGGGCGGCGGAGCGCGAGGCGGCCGTGTGGCGGGCGCTGGAGGAGCGGCGCGCCGAGGCCCAGCAGGCGGGCGCCGAGCGGGCGCGGCTCCGGACGCAGCTGCGCGCGCTGGGCGGCCAGGCGGCGGCGCTGCAGGCGGCGCAGGGCGAGCTGCGGCGGGCGGCGGGCGAGCTGCGCGCCTCCTTCGCGGCGCTGCTGGCGGACGCGCTGCGGCACGAGGCGCTGCTGGCCGCGCTCTTCGGGGAGGACGCGGTGGCCGCCGAGGCGCCGGGGCCGCTGGCGCTGAGCTACGAGCAGATCCGCGCGGGCCTGCGGGACGCGGCGCTGGGGCTGCACGAGCAGGCGCGCGGCTGGGCGGCGCTGGCGGCCCGCGTGGCGGCCCTGGAGCGCGCGGGCGGCGCGGGGCCCGCGGGGCCGGAGCTGCAGCGCCTGGGCGCGGACGTGCGGCGGCTGGAGCGCTGCTGCGGGGACGCGGCCGCGGGCAACGCCGCCCTCAACGGCTCCCTGCAGGGCCTGCACGCGGCCCTGGCCGGCGCCCAGCTCGGCCTGCGGCGGCAGCAGCAGCTCTTCCACAGCCTCTTCGCCAACTTCCAAGGGCTGCTGGCGGCCAACGCCAGCCTGGACCTGGGGCGGCTGCAGGCCGTGCTGGGCCGGAGGGAGAAGAAGGAGCAGAGGGGCCTGGACGCGGCCCGGAGGAGGGACAAGAAGCAGGCGGCGCCCCGAGCCCCGGGGGCCGCGCCCCAGGAGGCAGGTGAGTCCCGGCCCGGGGGTCAGGCTGCGCCCGGAGGCTCCAGGGGGACACGGGGCGGGGCGGGCAGGGCCCGGGCCTGGGGGGAGCTGGTGCAGGGCCTCCGTGCTGTCCCATGTGGCCCCGGAGGGGACCCCGAGCTCTGGGCAGTGACTGTCCCTGCCGGGCCGCCGTGGGGCTCTGCCCCCCTCCCCGGACAGGGCGGTCCGAACCCCCAAACCCCGCAGCTGGTTCCTGAGGCCTGGGTGAACACTTCCCAGCCAGCTCCCTCCATGGGTCTCAGTTTCTTCGTCTGTAAAATGGTGTGGGAAGGGAGAAGGGCTGGAAAAGTACAGCCTCGCCAGCGGAGATAACAGCTGTGTCTCTGTCAGCCAGTGACCTCCTAGGAGCGGCCAGGCCCCCTGACACAGGCATTAGCAGCCGTCGGGAGGGCTGTGTCGGTACTGAGCTATGTGGGTACTGAGCTGAGGAAGGCGGGTCTCGGATTGATTTCCATCCCAGGGAGGGAGTCCCTGAGCGCTGTCCTCTGCCCCCAGGCTCCCCCGTGGCCTTCTACGCCGGCTCCTCAGGAGGGATGGCCGCCCCGCAGACCCTGAGGTTCGACGCCGCTCACATCAACGTTGGCAGCAGCTTCTCCCCTGAAGACGGCTACTTCCGGGCCCCCGAGCGCGGGGTCTACCTCCTGGCCGTGAGCATTGACTTCGGCCCGGGGCCGGGCGCTGGGCAGCTGGTGCTCGGCGGTCACCGCCGGCTCCCCATCGCGGGCGGCGGCACGGCCACGGCCTTCACCATGGCCGAGCTGCAGAAGGGGGAGAGGGTGTGGGTGGAGCTCACCCAGGGGTCCGTGCGCAGGAGGAGCCCGCCAGGCACCGCGTTCGGGGGCTTCCTGCTGTTCAAGACCTGAGCCCTGGGCAAGCCAACCTCCGCGCTGGCCCAGCTCTTCCCCGGAGAGCCGCAGAGACGAGGCCTCCCTGGATGCGCAGGTTGTACGCGAAGAGGCCGGATGCTGCTCCCTGGCCGCCGGGGCTGGCCCTTCCGTCCCAGGCGGCGTGGCTGGCCTCGTTTGCTCCAGCGTTTGCTGTTTTGCCCCTTGTGGTTGAAAACTTCTGTGCACGGAACCTTCCTCTGGCTCCCGCGTGTCCCAATCCCTGCTAGAAAAGCGTCTTTCCCAGAGGATTGGGAACTAGAATAGAGGGGCATTTTGGACAATCCGGGAACCTGGCTCCAAGCACAGCCGGTTAGGTCTGTCAAATGAAAACGGACCGAGTATCGGGGGAAGGAAACAGTATCTTTCCCGCACTCTCAGTCCTTCCTCTAATGTACCTGCAACTTGAACTGCACCCCCTTTCTCCCTGCCGCACATGGGACACAGGCCATGCCACAGAGCTAACGTGTGCAGCTTTCACCTTCACGCTCCCCCACAGCCTGGCCACCCTCATTATTAGCATCTCGACAGGAAGGGAGCTGAGGGGGGAGGGAAGACACTAACAATCCCCCTCAGTTCCATCATCTTTGGGATCAGGCAGCACCCTTCCCAGCTCTGCCCGGTGAGCCGATGGCGGAAGGATGGGAGAGGCGGGAACATGGGCGAATAAAACTGTAAGTGTGTCTGTTTGTGTAAAGTGTGGCTCCGTCACTCCAGAGCCCTCCCTGCAGGTTCGCGTAGTTCTGCCTACAACACGAGGATCCTCGGTGAGCACTGAGTACTGGGTCAGACACCCAGCGCAGTTAGTTATTCTTGCAGTAACGTAGTTTAAGGTCACATGTTCTACAGCAAACAGGCTTGTCGGAAAACGTTTCATGGTGGTGGTAGGTGTTCAGTGTTTGCTGACTGTATTCTTCTCCGTAAGGAAATCTGACCGGGCTGGGAATAGGCGGGCAGGAGCTGGTCAGCCTGCTGGATCCGGCTCAGCCCTCGCCTGCCGGCTCCTCCCTCTGGCTAGGACCTCGCACCCAGTGCAGCCTTAGCTGCCAAGACCACTCCTGACCAAAGGCTGGTGTGTGGGCCCCCCTGACAGCCTGGAGGCAGTGCAGGCACCTGGCTGCCGCTGCTGTCAATCAGGCGGTGCCAGTGACGGAGTGGAAATTATTGCATTAATAAGAAGGAGTGAGCTGATGTCCTCCATAAGGGCACATGTCGTCCAGGGCAAGGTTATAAATAGGAGTGCTGCCTGGCAAGCAGGGCCCGCAGAAGGATGAGTCACGGGCCTGTTGCCGGGGATCTCATGAGCGAGGTTCCCGTGCAGATTCCCAGGCTCCCGTCACGCCCAGTGCAGGCTTCAGGTCCACACTGTGTGGCGAGGCGCCAGCTCAGCTTGGACGCTCAGTCACCGGACAGACTCACCTGCACTAAGACATCGCAGTCGCTGGGTGGAGACCGGTGCCTTCGGGTAGACCTGCTGCCCAGCTCAGCATCCAAACAGCCTCCCTCCAGCAGCAGCTCCGGAGCCGGTGCAGTGGCATCAGACCACCCTGATGGAAAAAACCCAGTACCACCGAGGACAAGAAGGATCCTGTAAGCAGACCAGGGAATTATAGTAATTCCTAAACAAACAGGAAGTAGAAAGGATCAAGTATGAAATGAAATAGCAATAAGAAATCATAACCCCAAAGCATGTGAGACTGTTGGAGAAATGGGAGTGATTTCGGCGGAGTTCCATCGCAAACTCGGCCGCCCCCTGGTGGGGGTCGGGAGGGCAGTCGCTCCACCCCCCTGCGCTGAGCAGGGCACAGTGGCCTGTGAGAGGTCAGTCCTGAGCCCCAAGTAAAGGCTACGATTGACCCTCCGAAGGCAGGAAGCCCCACCCCTGATGACCTGTAACCTTAGGGAGTCAATCAGAGACCCTCCATGGACAAAACCACATGTCCAAATTATTTCACAAACACCAGGAAGGGGATAGAATGGTCTAGAAACAATGTTTCTTAAGCTCTCCTCCCCTGGAACCTCCTCTGCAGTCCATGTTTATCTTGAAAACAAAACACTCCTGAGCACCATTCCCACCCTCTTCTATCAAGAAGCTCCCCCAAACCTGGCTTGACAAACCTCGTGGGGGAGGGGGAGTGAGGAAGTAAATGAAGGGAGTGAGGAGGAGAGAGGAAAGGTTGTGTTATTTGCTCCAAGAAACAGTGATTATTCTACTCCTCCCTGAAAAAATGAGTCCAAGGAATGTGGAACCGAGGTGGGCAGGACCCACCAACTCTATGAGCAATAGCCCGGAGTGCCAAACACTTGTGGAAAATTAGGATCAGGAACAAGACCCAAAACTCACCAAACTGAAGTTTTTGGAATATATAAACCTTTAGAAACAAGAGAGAAAATTGTAAGATAAGTCTTATATGCCACCCAGATCCTGGTCTCCAAATATCTCCCTTAAAGGGAACCCGAGTGCCTGTGAGAGGGCTGACTGGGCCGAGCTGGAACATCTGTGCCAAAGACAACAGGCATGGCCCGCGTGGCTCAGTGATAGTGCCACCCATGAGCCAGGTCATGCTTAAACTCCCAATCAGGGCACATGCCCAAATTTTGGGCTCGATCCCCAGTAATGGGCATGCAGGAGGCAGCCCATCGATGTTTCTCTCTCATCAGTGTTTCTAACTCTATTCCTCTCACTTCCTCTTTGAAGTCAGTAAAAACAAAAACAATGGTCACATGTCAAAAGCTCAGGAGTGTGAGGAGCTCCCGGTAGCTAAGTCTGGGTCAATTTGAACATCAAAGCCACTAATGACCTAGTAAGCCTGCCCATGAGTCCCATGCTGGTGGGCCTGAGAAACACAAACACCATGTCCACCCACTCACTGGCTTTTGCTCCAGAGAATGTCAGAGCCACAAAAGGGTTGAAGGGGAACAAGTCCTGACAACTACATGGTCCTAGCCAGAACCTGGGACCGGAAAATGTGCTCTCGTGGCTTCTATTAAAACACCTGGCAAATGGTGTTGCAGGTGTGTGTCATGGTATCGATGCTAACTTCCCTGATTTTGATAATTGGTTGCATAACAGAATCCCTCTGAAGCATTTAGGGATGGAGGCATAGCTCTGCAATGTACTCCAAGTAGTTCAGAAAAAAGCACGTGTGAACACAGACTCCGAGCGCCTTTTTACTTCCTGTACATAACACAGAAAATGACCAGTTGTCACAAAATGTAAGTTTATGAATCTGGGTGAAGGGTAAATGGCATTTTAAAAACTACTTTCCAACTTTTCTGGAAGCATGAAATTATTTCAAAATACAGTTGAAATTTGTTTAAGTAAACACACACACACACACATCTCAGTATATGGGTGAAAAGCAGAAGGTAGGATAGAACATAAGAGGGACATGCTAGGAAATTTGGAAGAAACATCCAGGAGACCTAGTATTTGTCTAATGGTAGTTCTAGAATGATCAAAGTAAAAGGAAGTAAAGTAACAATGAAAGAAAAGTTTCCAGATCCAAGAAAAGGTGAAAAAACAGAATGGAAGTAAGTAGACATGCAAGTTTAATCTTCAAAAAGGAAAGTTCTGCTTGTGAAGGAGTGTGAGTTACTCCACCCAGCACTGCCCCGAACACGTCCATCCTCACGGGCCACATGGTGCTGGGAGACCGGGGGCAGCCCTCGAGTCGAACCACATCGAATGATAAAAACCACTTCTTAAGTGTTCGAAGTGCATCCCGCAAATGTGCCACAGCTTCCAATTCTCTCTCAATGTCTTTCAACACTTACTTGGATTCCAGTGTAGTGAACAGAGAACAGATTGCTTAAACTGATTCAAAATTTGCTTTATAAAATGGCTTCCACTAAAAAAACAAGCTGTAGCTTGAAAATATTTTCAGTATCAGCATTTTATATTGACTTTTTAAGAAAATGTTTTTATTGATTTCAGAGAGGGAGAGGAGAGGGATAGAAACATCAATGATGAGAATCACTGTTTGGCTGCCTCCTGCACATGTGCCCTTGACCAGGATCGAACCCAGGACCCTTCAGTCTGCAGACTGAGACGCTAATCACTGAGCCAAACCGATCAGGGCTTGGCTTTGAGACACTGTCACATCTCGGTTCCTGTATGCAGGAGGATCTGGGTGGCGAGGCGGCTGTCGGGAGCCCTGCGGCTCCTGGTGGCCCTGAGTGTCACTAAGGGTGCCCGGGACCCTTGGGGACAAAGACCAGAAGGCTCCAAGGGGGTAGGTAGGTCATATTCCCTCTAGACCTGAGAATGGCAGTCCTACCTGAAAGGATCCACCTTTCTGCCCTGTCCTTTGGTTCCGCTGAAATACTGTGTGCACAGCCCCGACGCCCAGCCTCAGGGTAACCTGCCATTTCTGCTCACACCCTGAACTCCTGGGAATGAAGTCCTCAGATCAGAACAGTGCCCGTGCCATTGGGTGGCCTTCAGGCTGTGCTCCCAGAGCCACGTGGACTCCACTCCTCTCCAAACGCCAGGAGGCGGACCCAGCCCCTGGGACCTGCCATGCTCAGCGAAGGAAGCAGGTGGAGGAAGGACCTCCCCTGCGCCAGGTGGCTCTCTCCAGCGCAGGCGGGAGTGTCATGAAAAATGCTCCGAGCACAATGTTAAAAACTTTAATTTTTTTCTTCCAACTTAAACCATTTTTTAAAAGTTCTTATATACTAGGCCCATTTTTCGAAAGGTAACCTAAGAAAATAAACATACAAAGGTTCATGTTTAATGATGTTCAATGCATTGGTTGTATTTTCTAAAACAATGGAAAGTAACCCAAATATTGAATAGGGAATTTTAAAAATGTCCCATCTATTTGATGGAATATTACATGGCCATTTTTTAAAAAAAAAAAGTTATGCTTTCAATGGCTACACGGTGACACACTATGATCTTAATATTGTAGAAAAGTATGCAGCAGAAAAACATTGGAAACATTCGAATGTAAATAGTGGTAACATCTGGCAATAGAATTTTGAATGATTTTATTTGCTTTTTTTCTTTCCTGTTTTCCAAAATTTCTGCAATAAGTACATATTTTTATAACTAGAAAAATATTTTTAAAAGAAAAAACACCTTTATTCTAATAGGTTTATGGCCCTTCTATCTACGTGAAGGATGGAGGGTATGGCTGTCTGGGCACTTACCTGCCCCTGCTCCGACCCGGCTTCCTGGTCGCTGAAGTGCACACTCAGGGACATGTGTATGTTCACTAACTCACTTTTTATGAAATCTCAACAGACATGCATTCTGATATACAATACAATCTGAGCAGAGCATCACAAAACACATCACTGAAGTATACTAAAATAAGGTTATTTACTGAAAAATGATACACTGGACATAATCTCTATATAGAACACAGCAGTAAATGGTAAACTTAATAAGGCGCTTTTTAAAGCAGATGCTGACAAAATAAATGTAGTTATGTTACATACCAAAGATGAATCTATATTTTTGGTGCTTTACAATTGCATGATAAAACTGTTTAACCCTTCTTTCAATGTCTATGTACAACTTCCCTAATTAAGCTATAATGGCATTTTCATTTTATATAATATATACTGCATTTTAATTTTTTAACGGGCGGGGACAACAGTCACTACCAGGGCTTAAATAATTCTACTGAAAGCACAGTACAGAGCACAATCTACAGTCATCCCCCAGTCAATCCTTTGCAAAAGCAGTGTTTACAGACTCTCCCTATGGGACAGTCTCCGTGGCCATATCAATGCTGCCAGATTTACTGTTTCTATGAGCGTTGGTTGTCTGCATTTCTCTCTGTGATTCTCTTAACAGCTCTGAGGCAAGAACTGGTATTTTAACACCTGACTCAAGCAAATAATAAATATCACCACTTTTAAACAGTACAAGAGCTGCAACAATACTTTAAAAAAAACAATGCCTATTTCTGCTGTTGAAATTATTTTAGATACTCAGAAACATTTTAAAACATGTATGAAGAGAAATATGACTTGAATTTATAAAATATTCCCTGGAATAAATTATTCAATATAAAAGTTGATTTTGTGCTAACTTCGAAATGCATAATTCTTTAAAAGTTGTATTGCATTTCTGTTTTAAACATAAGAAAAAAATCTGGGGTTAAAAGGTGTTTTTTTTTAAGCAAATAATTTGGCACATTCTAGGAAAATAATTTTCAAAAATGATGTCACTTTCTAAGTTTAGAAATACATCTGGATATTGAAAAGACAACATGAATTGTTGATTGAAATATTTTTTTGTGGAACTATTTTCAGAAAATTAGATTCAAATTTTATATTTCAGAAAGTTGTTCAACAAAAAAGCACAGGGAAAGCTCAGAATAAAGATAGTGACCTCAGTCTTAATGTGCCTCTGATCCGAGATGTTCACACAGCTCTCACTCGATGACTGAGGATGAACGTGTTAGATTCTGCCGCCTTTGGAGTTTGTTTTTATTTCAGTTATTTAAAGGGATGACAGGCAGGAGCCACATGTCTTTAAAGTGCTCAATTGTGAGACCAAATAATGGTTTCTAGGGTTTTCCAAATTGTTAACTATGGTACTATATCATAATTCCTGCCTCTTTAAACATTTCACTAAGACATTTAAGAGTAAAAGTAAGAAGGAAAGAAGTTTCATGCAACATTTTTTAACTTCTAAAACTTCAAATAAGTCATCTGCTTTTTAAAAAA